GGGAATTCATGTTTTCTTGTGTTTGTTGCCTTGTTGTTTACAGATGGGCAGTCAGTACCAGCGCTCAGTACCTCTAGAGGTGAGGAGAGCAGAGGGAGAGAGGGTCCGGACCAAGCATCCAGACAAGATACCGGTCAGTATGACATCTGTTAACATGTTGCATCTGCTGTTAGTGACCTTCAATCAGTTAAACTGGGTTAGGAGGTGTTATGTTTGTACAACAAAATAACCAAGATCTCTATTTAAAGCCGGTTATCCTAATAAAATATTAAGTATATGAATTCTTAAACAGATTGCAACTGTAAATTAGTATGAATGTATTTGTTGTTGTTTAGATTTTGGCATATGGCTGATTACTTTTGGCTCTATTTAACCAGATCATTGTGGAGAAGTCCCCGAGGTCACGCGCCCCTGAACTGGACAAGAAGAAATACCTGGTGCCCTCAGATTTAACAGGTGAAACACACAAACTTCAAAATCCCAGTTAAATCTCTCAGATGACTCATCACATCCAGCAATCACCAGCTCTTCGACGGGATACATTTCAGTTTTGGTGGTCACATAAATGTATAAAAGCTGTTTTTATAGCAAACACTCAGCACAGGTGATTTCATAGGTGTATGCTTAAAACTCGCACTGCAACATACCAAAAATAATTGACATTGCATATGGTCAAGTAACACAAAAAACATCAATCATTCCTAAATAAAGGGTATCATAAACCATACGGTGCATAAATAAGTGTGAGTCTGATCTTTTTAAAATGATAAGATCCCGTATTTTTAATCACGCTCTATATTTCTCTTCTCTACCACGACACATTCATCTTACTGTGAAGATAAAATATCTCGTCCCCTTGCGCTTTTACTGAGAAATAATCCATAGTTAATGTTATAATTCCATCTGTGTCTCATGCTATAAGTCAAAATGTCTTGCTGTGAAAATCTGGTAGGTGCACTAAGGGAAACAGTTCATGATTCAGCCTGATAGTGTCACTGCATAATAAGGTTTTTTAGCTTTTTTGTCTTTCTGATTGAATTTAACGTCTTGATTTCTCTTGGCAGTATTCCTGTTTTTTGGTCAGAAGACTGAACAGTGTACTGGTCATTTCGTCGAGTCGTCTGTTTCCTTCCTCTTTATGTGAAATGAAACGACTGAGTGAGACCCTTGCTGAGCTTGCTGACCTCTTTCTCTTCTTCCTTTTCTTAGTGGGCCAGTTGTGCTTCCTGATCCGTCAGCGTGTGTCTTTGAGACCGGAGGAGGCACTCTTCTTCTTCGTCAACAACTCCCTTCCCCCTTCCAGCTCCCCTCTCTCTGCTGTATATGAGGTAACTGTACCCGTCCACACACATGTTCACAAGGAGCTTCTTCCCAACGCACCACACACACACACACACACACACACACACACACACACACACACACACACACACACACACACACACACACACACACACACACACACACACACACACACACACACACACACACACACACACACACACACACAGAAACAGAAACTGTTTTTCATGCTAAATAGATCTGCTGAGACTTGATGTCAAGTTGAGCCTGCCAGTAACACTCTTGCACAATAAGAGAAAATTCTGACCTGATCATAATTAAACTTGAAGCTTTTTGGGTGCCAGAAAAAAGCTTTTTGACTACACTTTGATCAGTCAACTCAAATTTGGGGTGAATTAAAAAAAGAAAAAAAGTGCATATTCAAAGGTTTTAGTGTCACATGCACAAAGCTACAGTGTAGAAATGGCAATGAAATTCTTCTGACCTGAGCTCCTCCAACAATGCAACATATATAATGAAATACAAAATAAAAAGTAGTGCAAAAAGTCTATATACAGGTCAATATAATACGCATTTTCTAATAAGCTTTAAATAATCAATTATGAGGTTATGTTGAGTGTGTTAGTTAGTGTGCATTCCTAAGTACCATTGTCATGCTAAATTATTTATTTTCCCCTTTCTTGTTGTTGTGTCCCAGGAGCACCATGAAGAGGACCTGTTTCTCTACATGACCTACAGTAATGAGAGTGTGTACGGTGCCTGAGTGAGGACAAAAGACTGGAGAAAGAGAGAGAGAGAGAACGAGGCTGTCTGAGAAATAAAGAGTTAAGGCTGTTTGTAATGCTTCACACCACTATTATTCTCTATTAGTTTTGATAAGTAACTACATGGTGAAAGAAAGGCTTGGCACAGGGCAGACGTTGTCGCTGGTAGGGTTTACCGTCGTCAGTATTTCCGGGTGAGCTTAATGCATTTGAGTTAACTTCAAGTTATGTTGATTAGAAAGAATGAATGCATCGCAAAAGGAGGTTAATGAAATTACGTTGAGGGATCTCTCTTATTCTTTCTCAGTCCTCTGTATTTAATGCAAATATTTGTTGTTTTTTTGTAAATTAATATCATAAACTTTTGTGGAAAATAAAGATGAAAATGCATACATTTCTGATTCTGTACGTGTGTCATTCTGCAACGTCTGCGGTTTGGATGTCAATTGGAAAACAAATATTTAAATGATTTATTTATAAGTACAACACTTGTACTCTTAATGTATGTGGTTTAGGGGAAACACAAATATAGAGGAAAGTATTTTGTCTTTACTGATCAGATGAGTCATACTCACTGGACACTTTTAGGTTTCCGGCGTTTTTTTTTTTTTTTTCTACATCTCAACACATTATTTGAGCAACAGGCGTTTCATCTGCATTTGTGTCTGCATGACACAGGGTTACATAACTCAGTTGTCAGATCACTAGCCTGGTCTGAGAAACTTCTCCATTATATCGAAAGTTAGAGAAACAGAAGCCAGAGGAGCCATGGAGCTGCAGGAGATCCCCAACGAGGGGGAAACACACGAGGAAGGTGAACCGATGCTGGAGGTCAAAACTGAAGGTACACATTTTATTTATTCAAAAAATAGGTCCAAAAAAGCCTATTAAGGAATATATAGAAATGAAAAACGATGAATGCACAGTATTGTAGTGTTCCTGTTTTCTATATGAAAAATACATTTAAAAAAGTGTAATAAAACTATAATATTAAGAGATTTTCATTTAATATATTTTAGTTCAACATGTATTTGAGATTTAAAAAACATGTCAGGTGGTTTTGTCTGTTCAATTGAGTCTATCTTTATTTTTGTCTGGCTTTAGAGGAAGCAGAGCCTGACCACTACTCCAAACTACAAAGTCCATCTGAGGATATCTATTCAGAAGCTTTGGTCAGTGGCGATCCCGTTAAAACAAGGGCAGAAACGACCCAAGCAGGTACATCCTATAATACAAATTGTTGGTGTTTTGAAGCTGCTACGTCCAAAGGTAACATGTAACATGTTTCAGCGTGCCTAAAAGCCACTTACTAAAAATAAAGGGTCTTCATTGGTCTTCCATAACACATTTTGTTTTAAAACTGCTCCATGATGTTTCTCACATTCTATATTTGATGTTGAAGTAAAACACACCCCAACAGGGAGTTGCATCAATTCAATATATTGCTGGTTATTCACCAATATGTTTTTGTCATTGTTGTTATTGGTTACTGTACATGAAAAACTGCAGCCTATGTAATAATGACACGAGTGTTTCTCTGAAAACCGATTCAAATTCAAGAAAAAGAAAAAGCAGAAGGAAAGGTTTGAAAGCTTAAAAACCACAGCAGAAATGTAGGGGAACAAACGTTTTAACTTTGATCAACGATTACATTTTCATTACAGAAATAATGTCCGTTATTGTTTTACTTTTAATAAAGCTTAGTAGAGGCTTGTTAAGAATGTTTGACGAGCTGGGTAATTGTTCAATTCCAACTTATTTTCTTTTATTGTTGTTATTCTAAAAAAGCTTTGATGACATGTTAAGGTAATTTCTCTGATAAACAGAAAAGTGGAGATATCAAGGACATTTTCACATATTTGTATTGTTTACTTGCAGCAGAATAACAAAACAAAGTTGAAATATGTAGTGAGTATTTTCAATGACGATTGATCTGCTGGTATTTATTTTCAAACAATGTAATAGTAATATACTGTATATTATAATTAAAGTAGCTCAAAATGCCCCCCACAATTTCCCAGCACCCATGTTAACATTTTACATTTGTTTTTTCTAAACAACAGTCCATAAGCCAAAGGTTCCCACGACAGAAGAGGAAAAAACCTTTGAGGAATTGAAACCAATGACATTGTTTTTACAATGTCTCAAATAATTAAATAGGAAATGTGTTGAATGCTCAGTTAGTAAGTCAGTTATCATAAATTGCCATTGTTCCATTGTTATATTATTTTATTTTCAAAAGTATTTCTTACTTATTGAAGTATGATGGTAATTTACCTCCATTTTAATCTGGACAGAGTGAATATGATATACTTACAAGTAGATATTTATGAAAATAATGACAACATTTAATTTATTGCATATATAGACTATTACAATTTATTTACATTTTGTGATTCTTTAAACATGTTGTCTGTGAGCATTAAAGTATTTTCATATTTGTAAGTGATGGGAATCAAACTATTCTTCATCCAATAAGGGGGGATATCTCTGTAATGCAAAACCATCTGTTTAATACAAGTACACTTCACTAAACCCAAGTCTGTCTTTTGTAAGGAAACAGCAACTCAATGTTTACAAGCACCTGTTGAAATCAAAACACTGTTTTCCTATTTGTTTTGTGATAATGCAACAATTTAAAAAGACAGAAAGAAAGTAATACGCACAAAAAACATTGAGATGCAAATACGTATTTGTTGTTGTAATTCTCATTTTGTCCACAAGAAGCTGGAGTGCACCACTAGTGGCCTGGTTTGTTTCCCCCTCAGAATTCTGCATTTTGATATAAAATGTATCTGTATCAGTCATACTATGTTCTGTCTGGGAACTGTGCTCCATACATCTGAAATGACCTCAAAAAACAGTCCTATATTTTGTTTTAAACCACAACATGTCTCCAGGAAGCAGTCAATCTCTCACACAAAGAGAGATACAGTCCAAGTTTTGGAAACTGAAGGACAAGCGGATCACTGTGCCCCATGAATAATTCAGTAATCACTGAAAGTCATGTTGCTATGACTACTACTAGACAAAGGAGGGGGGGGGGGCGTCGTCTTAAAGCTGCACTCAGATGTAAGTCAGCAGAACAGACAGACGGAGCAGGACAACAAGCTTCATCAATAATCTCAGGACACTTTTCTCCATGTATATCAAATTTTGCCGCATTTATGGTCAGGATAAAAAAGATGGAGCCGGTGAAAAGTTATCACCTGAGTCCAAGTTATCTGTTGAACTGCAGGAGGAAAAAGGTAGGCCAGAGCCTTCATGGTGTTTTATGTTCGTGCGTATTCTGAAATATCTCTCCAACATCAGGCTGATTTCTTCCTCCTCAGGCAAACCGACGGAGGGGAACTCACGTCTGTACCGTGCTGCGTGTTTGTTCCTCACCATAATCTGCCTGGTCCTGCTGCTGGTCGTCATCATACTCAGTCTGAAACGTGAGTATCTGCAGCCATGGATCATGTCAGCACTGTAAAAACAAACAACTACTTCAGCTGGATTATGTTTGTAACTCCAAAACAGATTATGAAAGGATTTATGGTTTCACTGGCAGGTCAGAATTAAAAGAAATAAATGTGTCAGAGTCACTTTGCCATGGTTCCTTTTTTGCTCGTAGAAACCAAAAAGGATTATAAAGTGTGTCTGATCTAACTGCTGCAGCCTGTGGGCACCATTCCTTTCTCTTAAAACTCCTCCCACTGTGCTCTGCTTTCCAGTCCAAACTGGCTCTACCATCTGTCCAGAGAGAGAGGGAACTACAGCAGATGAAAGGCGGAGTCGTCCTTCTGATTCGACATGCAGCCACGAGAAGTGCGAGGCTCTCTTCCCCGAGATGCAACCCGAACGTGAGTGTGATGCCAACTAGACAAAAACAAAACCTTATGCAAGCCAGGGAAGCATCTTCATCAACCGAAAGAAAAACTAGAAGAGTGCAAGTGCATCTACTGCTTTCATGTCTGAATCACAATTATATTAGCTTTGTGTGCAAATGTTGAAAGAACCAATCCTAATCCTGAGGGGTCAGAAGTCAAAGACAGTATACAACAGTCATTTAAAGTAAGTTTTTCAAAATGTGTGAACCACCAGAGGTCCTTGAACGAACGATCATAAATCTGTACATTAAAAAATCAGACTGATGGGTCCAGTACTATGTGAGATTATTGGCGTACATGACAAACACATGACCCCAGGCTCCAGACTGACGGTCGCCGCAGTTCTGCTTTCACAGTAGCCCAAATCGTTTTTTAAATAGGCCTCAGAGGAAGTTAGTTCATGTGCTAGTTTTAATAGAGCTGAGAATGTTTAATTGAATTACCAAGAATTCAACTTTGATCATCTTTATTGTTACCTCTTATACAAAAAGCATTGAAGATGGCCCTGTGTTTACATACACCTACATTTATAGGTAAATGCATGCACACAAAATGTGTTTGGATAAACAAACTCCCTTGAAATGTTTAAAAGCAAATTAAAAACCTATCTATTTAATATGGCTTTTAATGTGGGTTAACTTTCAATTGTCACTAGTATCATTGTCCATGTTTTACTGTATTTTATTTCTGTTTTGCTTTTATTTTACATTTTTAAATTTTATTTTTAACCCTCTGGAGTCTAAGGGTATTTTCTCGATTTTTAGATGTTTTCTTAAATCACCTTTTAAATGTATTTCTTCTAACATGGCACCCATGTGTTACATATCAAAATGTTCAGGACAATCTCTAGTATTGCTATATATGCAAATTACTCACCTTAGAGCACTGTTTGATGAGATAAGTAGCACAAAAGCTTAAAATTTGACATCTGATTTTCGGAAAATCTTCAAAACTCTTGTGAAAACACAAATTTACTCATGTGATCGAATTGTTTTGGTGTTTTAGATTAGGTTACCAAAGTCCTAGGATTACAAAAGTAGTGAAATATTTGAATTACACTGTATATAAATGTGTTATTCATGTCTAAAATTAAATTTTATAAATTCGCATTCTGAGTAAAACAGCTGTCAATCACTCTACTTTCACCACAGCAGGGACTGAGATATATCAGGACTGAATAATGACTTCATATTACATAACAAGGTTCATGTGATGTGTAAAAAAAAAAGAATTGAGCATTAGAACTTTTTTTTTCAACCAACAATTTATTATAATACCAACAATGTATATAAATATAACTGCAAAATCTCACTATTTACAATATTGAACATCAGAACTTTTTTTCCTTCAACCAACTATTCATTATACACTGACAAAATGATCCTTCCTCCAGTAGTCCAATACATTGTCCAGTTTCAGCAGCCCCATGTATTTATAGAAATCCTCTACAGTCAAGTCAGTCCATTTGTAGGTTTTACACTTTCCCATCTCCTGTGCAGCCCGCTTGTTTGTGTTGGTACAGAGTGTCTGTACTGTTAGTGCACTGAAGAACAGCTTGAACAGGTCAAGGGGTTTGTTTGATACTGTTGAGCTGAGGCCCGGGTGTGCGAGCAGGTTGAAACCTGGAGACAGGGGGAGCAGTGTCAGGGTCTTCGCCTGTCTTCCAAGACAGTGGAGCTGGCTGCTGTGCAGGTGGGGATGATGGTGCATGGGCAGCTGGTGGCTGTGTGGGAGGTACATGTGCTCTACGAGACCTCTTTGCTGTCCGGGTTGATGGTGATGGCTGTAGCTGTGGTGGAGCTGAGGTGTATCTTGACCTCGTCGCAGGCAGAGATGGAGGCAGCTGTCGTGATGCTGGTCCACTAGTGCTTGGTGGGGATGGCAGTGGTGAAGGCCCTTGATCCATGGTAGATCTCAACATGGTGGCAGGCACAGCTGGAGGCTCCTGGATAAATGTAATCTGTGGGCCACTAGGCTCAGGCAGCTGTGACACCTCTCTGTAAAACAAATAAAAATTGTGGTACAACAATTATTACGAAGTTCAACACACACACACACACACACACACACACACACACACACACACACACACACACACACACACACACACACACACACACCCACACACACACACACACACACACACACACACACACAAATGGCAGGCACACATATAAATAAATTAAATGTCTCCGTTGTGGGACAAATAAAGGATTATCTCATGCATCTACACATGTAACCTTACTTATACACACCAAAATAACGTTTACACATAAATAAAGTTTATCACAGACACACATGTAAATAAGTCTATGACAAAGTCTCATATGTACAGAACAGTATGATCAAATAAAATACATGTCTATAAATGTCTCCGTTGTGGGACGAATAAAGGATTCTTTTTATTCATCTACACATGTAACCTTACTTATACATGCCAAAATAACGTTTACACATAAATAACATTTACACAGAGTAAACGTTTACTAATCAAGAGTCTATTTTGTCCCGAGAAAAAGTTCATGAGGGGAAAATAAAAAGGTTGATAAATCCATTGTTCATTTTCGCGGTACTCCTCACAAAATGGCAAATGCACTACAAGTTATATTTACACTTACCCATCCTCAAATGAATCCCTGCTGTCCCTGTATTCTTCTGTAGGAGATACTCTTGAAAAGCTACGATTCTCGCGATTCCGCAGATATCTGAATCATATTTCTACTCTTACAAACGCAAATCTATGATTAAATACGTAAATAAATGTGCACTTGGACTTAACTCCAGAGGGTTACATATTATCACTGTAGATGTTTTCTCTGATTCTGTATTAATTTGAATATTTTTGTTATGTTTTCTGTAAAGCACTTTGGGCTGCTTTGTACATGAAAGGTGCTATGCAAATAAAGTTTATTATTATTATAAAAACATAAAGAAAAATAATGCAGAAAGAAGAAAAAGCGTTAGATTTGCTTTATTAGGGCCCGAGCACGAAGCGCTAGGACCCAACGGCGTCCTAGCACGAAGTGCAAGGATACCTATTGTTATTGGTGGAATTCTTCTTATTATTTTTCTGCGCTTTCGACCTGTTTTTGAGGCCTTTAGGATGCTGACAAAGTTGTATAATTTTGCACGGACGCCAGGACCGGTAAAAAATTCAATATTCTGGAGTCAATGGGTTAAATATTCCAACCTGCTCAATAGCGCCACCTATCAAAATCCCATTTTGGAAAAAATTAAAAAAGTCGCACCGTAACTCCGAATGACCTGACATTTTGCACACATATCCGGGAGTACCTGCTCTACAAATAAGTCCATGGGAACCCTAAGCTTCGCCTACATTTTTTTTTTTAAATTGGCAAATTTACATAAACAGTTAAATATTCACTTAAATTTCAATTTTCAGTTTTTCAACACCAACCTTGGTATATAGCATCGGTGGAGGGTCAGAAACATTACCCTAGGAGATGAGCATGTTCAAACGATAAATATTTCCGCCATTAATTAAAACGTACTCGCAAAAAGGCGTGGCTTATAAAGAAATGCTCATAACTCATCAACAATGTATCCATTCACCACAGATTTTGGTGGAAAGTTTCAATCTGTCTTGGGAAATAGGCACACCAAATAATTTTCATTTAAGACTATAGGGGGCGCCAAAAACACCACCAATTTATAACTCAATAGCGGATGTACGAATTATTATTATTTTTTTTTTACACATACTCTCGAGGTGACTACGAATTCAGATTTAAAGTGTCGCAACAAATTCAGAATGTGGGCGTGGCCTATATATATTTTTTAAAATTGCGATAGCATAAAATGAGCTTCGGACGCAAAACTTGGGACACACGTCAGAGCCCACGACCTTTTCGAGAATGTAAAAAAAAAACGTACATTTTCAAAAAAACTGCTCACTAGCGCCCCCTATTGTGTGGTAGTCGCATATCGTTTCTCAGAACTTCACGAATTTTGGCACAGACATTCCTCATGGAATTGCGGACATATTTGTATATACATTCCATTAGCCCCGCCCCCCAAAAAGTCGGCCATTTTGAAAAATGTGCGTTTTTTATGCATTTTAAGCACATTCGTGCAAATTCCTCCTAGGGGAATGATCGGAAAAATTCCAATCCAGGACACGTTCAGCCCCTATCCAATATGATACTTAATTGAGAAGAACATTTTTGATAGCTCAATCGTGGAGGTCGTAAGCTAACAGCGAATACACCATTTTTGACGATTTACATGTCGCAAATTACTCCAAACTACTCGGATATAGTTAATCCGATATTCACGAAACGCTGTATACATATTGCTATTATGATTGCACACATATTTCAAATTGCCTTCCATTAGCCCCGCCCCCCAGAAAGTCGGCCATTTTGAAAAATGTGCGGTTTTCAGCCATTTTACGCACATTCTTGCAAACTCCTCCTAGGGGAATGATCGGAAAAAATCCAATCCAGGACAAGTTCAGCCCATTTCCAATGTGATGCTAAATTGCGAAGGAATAGTCGATCGCGCGAACGGAGAACTTTCCATTTTTGACGATTTACATGTCACAAATTACTCCAAATTACTCCAAACTACTCGCGTATACTTTTTCCAATATTCACGAAACGCTGTATACATATTGCTATTATGATTGCACACATATTTCAAATTGCCTTCCATTAGCCCCGCCCCCCAGGAAGTCGGCCATTTAGAAAAATGTGCGTTTTTCATGCATTTTAAGCACATTCTTGCAAACTGCTCCTAGGGGAATGATCGAAAAAATTCCAATGCAGGACAGGTTTAGCCCCTATCCAATATGATACTCAATTGCGGAGCACATTTTTGAAAAATCACTCGTGGAGGTTGTAAGCTAACAGCGAATACACCATTTTTGACGATTTATATGCCGCAAATTACTCCAAACTACTCGCGTATACTTTTTCCAATATTCACGAAACGCTGTATACATATTGCTATTATGATTGCACACATATTTCAAATTGCCTTCCATTAGCCCCGCCCCCCAGAAAGTCGGCCATTTTGATAAATGTGCGGTTTTCAGCCATTTTACGCACGTTCTTGCGAACTCCTCCTAGGGGAATGATCGTAAAAATTCCAATGCAGGACAGGTTTAGCCCCTATCCAATATGATACTTAATTGAGGAGCACATTTTTGAAAAATTACTCGTGGAGGTCGTAAGCTAACAGCGAATACACCATTTTTGACGATTTACATGTCGCAAATTACTCCAAAGTACTCGGATATAGTTATTCCGATATTCACGAAACGCTGTATACATATTGCTATTATGATTGCACATATATTTCAAATTGCCTCCCATTAGCCCCGCCCCCCAGAAAGTCGGCCATTTTGAAAAATGTGCGTTTTTCAGCCATTTCACGCACGTTCTTGCAAACTCCTCCTAGGGGAATGATCAGAAAAATTCCAATGCAGGACAGGTTTATCCCCTATCCAATAGGATACTTAATTGAGGAGCACATTTTTGAAAAATTACTCGTGGAGGTCGTAGGCTAACAGCGAATACACCATTTTTGACGATTCACATGGCGCAAATTGCTCCAAACTGCTTGCATATAGTTTTTCCAATATTCACGAAACGCTGTATACAAATTAATATTATGATTGCACACATATTTCAAATTGCCTTCCATTAGCCCCGACCCCCAGGAACTCGGCCATTTAGAAAAATGTGCGTTTTTCATGCTTTTTAAGCACATTCTTGCAAACTCCTCCTAGGGGAATGATCAGAAAAATTCCAATCCAGGACAACTTCCGCGCATATCCAATGTCATGCTACATTGAGAAGGAATAGTCCTTCGCTCAAACGGGGAGCTCGTAGGCTAACGGAGAATGTACCATTTTTGACCAATTATATGTCAGATAAGCTACTGAGCCCTGCCTGTCTGCCTGGCACATCAACTCTCTCACACACACACACACACACACACACACACACACACACACACACACACACACACACACACACACACACACACACACACACACACACACACACACACACACACACACACACACACACACACACACACACACACACACACACACACACACACACCTACTGTTAGTCCAACAACGCCCTTTGCTGGCGGCATATTCATTACAAAAGACACTCCCGAACCCTAACCCTACTGTTTATTTGTAGATATCTCCTAAAGCCTACAAATAAAGTGTGAAATGTAGGCCTGTTACATTTATTATTGAGCAATATATATTATACACACTGTTCTGATTTCGGCACTGACCTCAGCAGCTGTTCTCACTGTAACATCACCTAACATCCAGGGGACATGTGATTAGTGAGTAAACAAACGGTAAAGGGCAGAAAGTCTGATGCACATTTGATCATCTCAAATAACTTATAATCACAACGGAAACAGTTTGCAGAGCTGTGCTTCGTTGACAGAAGTCCAGCCATGCGTCACACCTCTTTTAAACATCACTGTTGGCTGAAATCGTCTCAGGAGAATACGTCAGTGTACCCTCGGTTATAGCTCCTCTAGAGACACTGCTCTCTCCCCTAAATCAGTGTATCCTCGGTTACGGCTCCTCCAGACAGCCTCCTCGATAATCGATCCTCGACGAGCCTGTAGAGACATTTGTTTTCCTTCGACATCCGTTTCCGGGTCGCTGCCGGAGGACCTGGGAGTCTGGGACGCGAAAATTATAGAAATGAGAAACGTCTAATTTCCCAGGACTCGCGCACGTCTGCTTGACACCGGGACGACCGGCTGCCCTCCCCGACAGGCGCACGGACGCGAGCAGGGGCGGCGCCAGGGGGGAGCTAGGGGGTGCTGACGCACCCCCCAGGATTGCCAAAGCACCCCCTAAGCACCCCCAAGAAATATGTGTTTTTTTTTTCTTCCAAAAATTATTATTATTATTTTTATTAAATTAAATTAGAAATATTATTGATTACATTAATGCATATGTGAAACAAACACATTTTTGACCAAAAACATAAAGCCAACACAGGTGATATGATTAGGCCAATGGCCAGCACCCATTCGATTTTTGACCTACCCATAGACTAAATTACTTTGTGACACTTGGGTGACTTCCTGTTAGCTAGAGCGCCAAATGATTTGCTAACAGCAAAGTGAAAAATTGATCGTTTTTAATCCTTAAACGTCCATGTGTGGACACTCAATCAAAACCAACTGAAAGCGAGAGGGATTCTGCACATAATAGGCCTCGTGAGTACAAGTAGCTTACTTCTGGGTCTCTGTGTTTCATTCAAGCCCTGCTCTGTGTGTGTGTGTGTGTGTGTGTGTGTGTGTGTGTGTGTGTGTGTGTGTGTGTGTGTGTGTGTGTGTGTGTGTGTGTGTGTGTGTGTGTGTGTGTGTGTGTGTGTGTGTGTGTGTGTGTGTGTGTGTGTGTGTGTGTGTGTGTGTGTGTGTGTGTGTGTGTGTGGCACGAGCCATTTTGTGTGCGTGCGCGAGCGAGCGAGAGAGCTCGCCTCGCGCACCAGTGGGTATCTACCGGAGATCGTTGTCGTTGTCACTACTCGATCTGCAGCTCTGCCCGATCTGCAGTGCGCATGTGCGAGATGGTCCGCTATATTGGACAACTCCGGACGGCAACCAAAATAGGACAACATTGACACAGTGGCTTTTGGCAAAGCTAAAAAGGAAAACTCGAGAGAGATGAGTTATTGTTATTACAACGTGACTTCACTATTATTTAACAACTCTTTTTATGGGGTTCGTTTATTTGGGGTTAAGTACATTGTCAGAATAAGTGAGAAATTGATTTAACTTCTGTTAGACAGCTATCATACTGAATACATATTTACTGTGAATGTGTGCAAAAACGTATGGCATATCTAACAGAAGTTAAATTCATTTCTCACTTATTCTGACAATGTACTTAACCCCAAATAAAAGAACCCCATAAAAAGAGTTGTTAAATAATAGTGAAGTCACGTTGTAATAACAATAACTCATCTCTCTCTCGTTTTATTTTTGAGCTTTGCTAAAAGCCACTGTGTCAAGTGTCCATCTTGGGTTGCCGTCCGCAGTTGTCCAATATAGTGGACCATCTCGCACATGCGCACTGCAGAGCTGCAGATCGGGTAGTGACAGTGGTTAGCATCTGGTGCTAGCTAGCCAAGCTAACGGATATAAGGAGCTTTTTCAACAACAAGGTGGAGGGAGAACTCTCTCCTGTCAGACGGAGAGTCTCAGGTAACCTCAGCTCAGGTGAAGTAAAGGACTCTCTCAGTGTTTAGATGGTTAACTTTAGTCTAGTTATCTCAGTGGGTCTCAAACGGTTTGTTTTAAAAGGGGAGTGATTTGTAAAATATCTATAAATAAAAAGTAAATCTGTTGACAGTTCTGTTTCGTATGGGTATTCAGAGATGTATCCATAGATCTCTTAATGTTGCTCTCAAAGTGCACCAGATTGATGCTTTTAACTTCAATATTTAAAAACAAATCTTCCCGGGGGAGCATGCCCCCGGACCCCCCTAGAGGAGGTGAGGACCCTCCTAGAGGAGGTGAGGTCCGCTCTCCACTTGTAAAAATAGCACTTTACCCCTGCCTATATGCCGTGAGCTGATTATCGAGCCTTCATTGTAACAGTCGCGGGTGCACTGTGTGGTGTGTTGTGTGTGTGTGTGTGTGTGTGTGGTGTGTGTGTGTGTGTGTGTGTGTGTGTGTGTGAGTGTGTGTGTGTGTGTGTGTGTGTGTGTGTGTGTGTGTGTGTGTGTGTGTGTGTGTGTGTGTGTGTGTGTGTTGTGTGTGTGGTGTGTGTGTGTGTGTGTGTGTGTGTGTGTGTGTGTGTGTGTGTGTGTGTGTGTGTGTGTGTGTGTGTGTGTGTGTGTGTGTGTGTGTGTGTGGGGAGTGTTGCAATAGACAATTCAACTATAGCGCTGGTGCATTAATGGGAAACCCTAAATGTTTGAGCACCCTCTATGAAACGTCAAGCTACCCCACAGCACCCCCTAGAGGAAATCTCTGGCGCCGCCACTGGACGCGAGGGCCCGCTCATCACTGCGCGCACAAGTGCGACCGCAGTTTTAATTATTTATGCAATTGAGTCTATGACCTTTTGTTCTGACTTGTATTCTGCACTGATGCCTCTCTCCCTCCAGATTCCAGCTGTCGGCAGTGCCCTGGCGGCTGGCTGCGTTATGGCCCGTCGTGTTTCTACCTGTCCACCTTCAGGCTGAGCTGGGAGGAGAGCCGGAGGAACTGCAGCTTCAGCGGAGGGTCTCTGGCTGTCATTACCAACAGGGGACTCCAGGTGGGTCTTATGTCACTTCCTCACCTGGCCATGAAGTGTAAACATGCAGTTCACCTTTCTTACCATCAGTGGTGTTTTCTCTTGCAGTATTATCTGACCAAGGTGGGGAAATTGAGTTACTGGATCGGGCTGAGACAAATAGCAACCACATGGACCTGGGAGGACAAGACTGAGCTGACAGAGAGGTGATAATTAGTGAATTGACTGATCATCTCAACACATTTCTTCTTGGTCTCTGGATATTGTTGTTTTGTACACATGTGTATTTTACTCTTTCAGAACAAAACACTCAGTGGCCACTTTATTAGGTACATCCGTAGGATCCAGTGCAATCCAATACAACAGCACTGCCTTCAATTCTGAAGTAAGGTTATATTTAGGCTGGTAATTATTGGGGTCTCAGTCTAAGTTCTCAGATCTTGTACTTGAGTAAATGTAAAAATACCAGAATACAGGAATACTCTGTTACAGGTAAAAGTCCTGCATTCAAAATGTTACTCAAGTAAAAGTAGAAAAGCATCAAAATAAACTTGAAGTACCAAAACTAAAAGTACTCTTATGCATTATGCATGTCGGCACATTTCAGAATAATATACTATATGTTTTGATTATAATTATTGATGCATTAATCTGTTTATCAAAGCTGGTAAAGGTGCAGCTAGTTTTAATAGCTTTGTATTGTGAAATTACTCAAGGTGTAACTAAAGTCAAGCGTTGATTATATTTCACATAATTTATCCCAATCTGTAAAGTAACTAAAGAAATTAAATAAATGTGGTGGTTAACGATTTACCTCTGAAATGAAGTGGAGTAAAAGTACAAATTAGCATACAATGGAAATACTCAAGTAAAGTAAAAATACCTCAAACTTGAGTAAATGTACTAAGTTACTTTACCACTGTAGTTTACGGCGGTGACCAGACTACATTTCATATTGTAATGGGTTGCATGAGATTGTACAGCTGTTTCCTAATAAAGAGGCCCCTGGGTGCATCAACTGTGTATTGTAATAAAAAAACAGACATATTCACTCTCAAATAATCACAATGTCCAATGACAACTATGCAAGAGTCAATATTCTTATTCTTTTTTGTTTGCAGTTATTGGCAGGATGGTGGGTCAACAGGGGGTTGTGGGAGCCTGAGCAGTGATAAACCAGCAGAGAAAAACTGGAGAAAAGTTCCCTGTGGGGTCTCCACCTACTTCATCTGTCAGCTGTAGCTCTGACCGCTTCTGCTCTTTCTTTACGAATTAATGAGGAAACCAATTTCCTGTCAACAAGCAGCAACTCCTCCGTAACATTTCAAACCATGTCTCCTTCACTTCAAATGAGTAATAACCAGCATTGAAAGATTGTAATATTATAGTTTCATATTTAACGCTTGAAAAGAGATATAGACAGTCTATTATATATTATGTTTGTGTGTAGCATTGTGTTGTCTTACTGTATAATGCAGGGGTGCCCAACCAGTCGATCGCGATCGACCGGTCGATCGCGGGGAGATTCCCAGTCGATCGCGAGATGTGTCTAAAAATAGAACAACAACATTCTGTTTTATCGTTAATGTCCTATAACATAATCTTCCCGTGCCAGAATAATGCACTTGATCGCATCAAAGCTTTGTGATTGGCCGGCGTGACCCCATGTGTCGGGGCGTGGCTGGTGAGCAGTGGGCACTATTTCGCTGACGTTGTCCGTGTCAACAGGAGTGACAGTCACACAAGACTACAATTATGGCAGAAGCAAAAATATTAATAAAATTATAGTTTCATATTTAACGCTTGAAAAGAGATATAGTCAGTCTATTATATATTATATTTGTGTGTAGCATTGTGTTGTCTTACTGTATAATGTAATGATCTGCTGTTCTTTTTCTTCAAATGACTGTGGCCAGTGAGTTTGTTTCAACAAGGTTTTATTGTCATATAAAAAGCAACTACATAATAAGTTGAATGTCTATGTTTCACTTTATTTGAGCTAAGCATATTACTGCTACATTGCTACAAAAATAACACATTATTTTTCTAAAGCATAATACTGCAGGTACAAGTATGGACACATTTACTTCATATGTTCAGGACTTTAAGATGAAGGTCAGGAGAACGCTCTTCAGGCTCAGGCAGAATGTCTTTCTAAACATATTTAATGTCCTGGTCCTCGTCCGAATCCTCCTTCTCCATCTCCAAACCCAAAGTGCTGTGGCGAATCATCTGCCATCCTGTCAGAGACTTCCTGTTGTTTAGACCCCCTCTGTGTTTAGGTCTGAGCGTAGGGGTCCCTGAGATGGACCCCTTCATGGTGTCCGTCTTTTCCATTCCCTCCTTTTCATTCTCCTCCTCTCTGGAGAAAGCCTTGACGTACCGCCGCATCTTTTGCAACATTGGGTCATTTCTGTCCTCAACCCTGTGGACGTGGTAGAGGGGAAAACTGGTTACAGTTGCTTCAAGGGAAATACTTTCACCATGGTAACCATTCAGTATTTAGAAATGCATCTCCTTTATGTCGAAGGACTAAGAAGAGACATCTCATAGAACGAACGGTTAACATGAAGCAGCAGAAAACATCCTAATGTACGGTCTCTAGTATGGGTAAAACTCCAGTCATAACTATGTTTCCCATAATGCAGCTAATGGCATTCCTTGTTGAACATTATCTTATTTTCTCAGTAGGAAGGCGAATCAGCTGATCTCGATGCTGTTAAAAGTGATGTGGCCTCAATTCACGATGACCAAAACAACCCTGATAGCAGACACTGACATCGTGACCACAACAATGTGAATATTAAAAATATAGGGAGAGAGAACCAGCACCTTACCGTGGTAGAGAGGTTTGTGTGCCCTGATGAACCTGGGGGCTGTGGTGTCTGGAACCTTGTGTTCCTGGTAGGGTCTCCCATGGCAAATTGGTCTCAGGCAAGGGGCCAGACTAAGATTGGTTCAAAAGACCTCATGAAAGAAAAACTAAGAAGTGAGGATACCCGGCCCGGAGGAAGCCCGGGGTCCCCTTCTGGAGCCAGGCCCAGAAGGAGGACTCGTCGGCGAGCGTCTGGTGGCCGGGCTTGCCACGGAGCCCGGCCGAGCCCAGCCCGAAAAGGCAACGTGGGCAACACCTCCGCTTCTCCGTCCCGCGGGCCCACCACCTACGGGAAACATCGATGGGGTCGGGTGCGCTGCCAGAAGGGTGGCAGTGAAAGCGGAGGGTCTCGACGGACCAGACCCGGGCGACAGAAGCTGGCTTTGGGGACGTGGAACGTCACCTCTCTGGGGGGGAAGGAGCCGGAGCTTGTGCGGGAGGTGGAGCGTTACCAGTTGGATCTGGTTGGGCTCACCTCTACGCACAGCGTCGGCTCTGGAACCTTACTTCTGGATAGGGGTTGGACTCTATTCTTCTCCGGAGTTGCTCAAGGTGTGAGGCGCCGGGCGGGTGTGGGGATACTCACAAGTCCCCGGTTAGGTGCTTCGTTGTTGGAGTTTACCCCAGTGGACGAGAGGGTCGCCTCCCTACGCCTGCGGGTTATGGGGGGGAAAACTCTGACTGTTGTGTGTGCTTATGCACCCAACAGCAGTTCAGAGTATACGGCCTTCTTGGAGACCCTGGAAAGAGTCCTGTATGGGGCTCCTGAAGGGGACTCTTTAATCTTGCTGGGAGACTTCAACGCACATGTGGGCAATGATGGAGACACTTGGAGGGGCGTGATTGGGAGGAACGGCCCCCCTGATCTGAACCGGAGTGGTGGTTTGTTACTGGACTTCTGTGCTAGTCATGGATTGGCCATAACAAACACCATGTTCGAACATAAGGATGCTCATAAGTGTACGTGGTACCAGAGCACCCTAGGCAGAAGGTCCATGATCGATTTCGTTATCGTATCATCGGACCTGAGGCCGTATGTTTTGGACACTCGGGTAAAGAGAGGGGCGGAGTTGTCAACTGATCACCATCTGGTGGTGAGTTGGGTCGAGTGGCGGGGGAAGCCTCTGGATAGACCTGGTAAGCCCAAACGTGTAGTTCGGGTGAACTGGGAACGTCTGGAGGAGGCCCAAGTTCAGGAGGCCTTCAACTCACACCTCCGGCGGAGCTTTTCGGGCATTCCTGTGGAGGTTGGGGACATTGAACCAGAGTGGTCGGTGTTCAAAGCCTCTATTGCCGAAGCCGCGGCGGGGAGCTGTGGTCTCAAGGTCCTAGGTGCCTCAAGGGGCGGTAACCCTCGAACCTCCTGGTGGACACCGGTGGTCAGGGAAGCCGTCCGACTGAAGAAGGAGGCCTTCAGGGATTTGTTATCCCGGGGGACTCCGGAGGCAGTTGCAAGGTACCGACAGGCCCGAAGGGCAGCAGCCTCATCCGTGGCCGAGGCAAAGCAGCGGGTGTGGGAGAAGTTCGGAGAAGACATGGAGAAGGACTTTCGGGCGGCACCAAAGTTGTTCTGGAAAACTGTCCGACACCTCAGGAGGGGGAAGCAGGGAACCATCCAAGCTGTGTACAGTAAGGATGGGACGTTGTTGACCTCAACTGATGGAGTGTTAGGGCGTTGGAAGGAACACTTTGAGGAACTCCTGAACCCGACAACTCCGCCCTCTATGTTAGAGGCAGAGCTGGAGTATGACGGGGGATCAACACCAATCTCCCGGGGGGAGGTCACTGAGGTCGTCAAACAACTCCACAGTGGCAAAGCCCCGGGGGTGGATGAGATCCGCCCGGAAATGCTGAAGGCTCTGGGTGTTGAGGGACTGTCATGGTTGACACGTCTCATCAACGTTGCGTGGAAGTCGGAAACAGTACCGAAGGAGTGGCAGACCGGGGTGGTGGTTCCCCTATTTAAAAAGGGGGATCAGAGGGTGTGTGCCAATTACAGAGGCATCACACTACTCAGCCTCCCCGGGAAAGTTTACTCTAAGGTACTCGAAAGGAGGGTCAGGCCGATTGTCGAACCTCAGATTGAGGAGGAACAATGCGGATTCCGTCCTGGTCGTGGAACGACGGATCAGCTTTTTACTCTCGCAAGGATCCTGGAGGGGGCCTGGGAGTACGCTTATCCGGTCTACATGTGTTTTGTAGACTTGGAGAAGGCGTATGACCGAGTTCCCAGGGAGTTACTGTGGGAGGTGCTGCGGGAGTATGGGGTGAGGGGGTCTCTACTCAGGGCCATCCAATCTCTGTACTCCCAAAGCGAGAGCTGTGTCCGGGTCCTCGGCAGTAAGTCGGACCCATTTCCGGTGAGGGTTGGCCTCCGCCAGGGCTGCGCTTTGTCACCAATCCTGTTTGTAATATACATGGATCGGATTTCGAGGCGTAGTCATGGGGGAGGGGGTCTGCAGTTCGGTGGACTAAGGATTGCACCACTGCTTTTTGCAGATGATGTGGTTCTAATGGCTTCATCGGTCTGCGACCTTCAGCACTCACTGGATCGGTTCGCAACCGAGTGTGAAGCGGCTGGGATGAGGATCAGCACCTCCAAATCTGAGGCCATGGTTCTCAGCAGGAAACCGATGGACTGTCCACTCCAGATAGGGAATGAGTCCTTACCCCAAGTGAAGGAGTTCAAGTATCTCGGGGTCTTGTTCTCGAGTGAGGGAACAATGGAGCGTGAGATGGGCCGGAGAATCGGAGCAGCGGGAGCGGTACTGCAGTCGCTTTACCGCACCGTTGTGACGAAAAGGGAGCTGAGCCAGAAGGCAAAGCTCTCGGTCTTCCGGGCCATTTTCGTTCCTACCCTCACCTATGGTCATGAAGGATGGGTCATGACCGAAAGAACGAGATCGCGGATACAAGCGGCCGAGATGGGTTTTCTCCGCAGGGTGGCTGGTGTCTCCCTTAGGGATAAGGTGAGAAGTTCGGTCATCAGGGAGGGACTCGGAGTTGAGCCGCTCCTCCTTCGCGTCGAAAGGAGCCAGTTGAGGTGGTTCGGGCACCTAGTTAGGATGCCACCTGGGCGCCTCCCTAGGGAGGTGTTCCAGGCACGTCCAGCTGGGAAGAGACCAAGGGGTAGACCTAGGACCAGGTGGAGGGATTATAACTCTTCGCTGGCCTGGGAGCGCCTTGGGATCCCCCAGTCAGAGCTGGTTGATGTCGCCAGGGAAAAGAAAGTTTGGGGCTCTCTGCTGGAACTGCTACCCCCGCGACCCGACCACGGATAAGCGGAAGAAGATGGATGGATGGGAGAGAGCTATGATTGTTTAATTTTTCAATATTCAGTTAAAATGATTATTACTCGACACAGTGTGCATATTCTGCTGTTTCCTCCACCCACGCCTAGTTTAACGTAGGATGTAAACAGTGGCGGATAGTTGGGGTTCTTGTGATGTAAGAGCACGAGTGGTGGAAAGAAACGAAGTACATTTACTCAAGTACAATTTTGAAGTACTTGTTCTTTACTTGAATATTTACATAATGTCATTTGACTTCACTACATTTATTAACACAGCTTTAGTAATTTTGAAAATGTGAACATTTTTCCTAAAAAAAACAAAAACGTAATACCCTTTCAACTTAATCCATCTCTAAAATTCAAACTACTGGACTAACTGTTCAAGTCACAACAAAGTATAATTATACAATATATTACAAAATGTGGCTTGGTGCAACAATTTGAACAATGTAATAATGTGATATATATATATATATATATATATATATATATATATATATATAATATATCACATTTGGAGAACTTTTTTCTAGATCTGCTGAGACTTGATGTCAAGTTGAGCCTGCCAGTAACACTCTTGCAAAATAAGAGAAAATTCTGACCTGATCATAATTAAACTTGAAGCTTTTTGGGTGCCAGAAAAAAGCTTTTTGACTACACTTTGATCAGTCAACTCAAATTTGGGGTGAATTAAAAAAAGAAAAAAAGTGCATATTCAAAGGTTTTAGTGTCACATGCACAAAGCTACAGTGTAGAAATGGCAATGAAATTCTTCTGACCTGAGCTCCTCCAACAATGCAACATATATAATGAAATACAAAATAAAAAGTAGTGCAACAAGTCTATATACAGGTCAATATAATACGCATTTTCTAATAAGCTTTAAATAATCAATTATGAGGTTATGTTGAGTGTGTTAGTTAGTGTGCATTCCTAAGTACCATTGTCATGCTGAATTATTTATTTTCCCCTTTCTTGTTGTTGTGTCCCAGGAGCACCATGAAGAGGACCTGTTTCTCTACCTGACCTACAGTAATGAGAGTGTGTACGGTGCCTGAGTGAGGACAAAAGACTGGAGAAAGAGAGAGAGAGAGAACGAGGCTGTCTGAGAAATAAAGAGTTAAGGCTGTTTGTAATGCTTCACACCACTATTATTCTCTATATTAGTTTTGATAAGTAACTACATGGTGAAAGAAAGGCTTGGCACAGGGCAGACGTTGTCGCTGGTAGGGTTTACCGTCGTCAGTATTTCCGGGTGAGCTTAATGCATTTGAGTTAACTTCAAGTTATGTTGATTAGAAAGAATGAATGCATCGCAAAAGGAGGTTAATGAAATTACGTTGAGGGATCTCTCTTATTCTTTCTCAGTCCTCTGTATTTAATGCAAATATTTGTTGTTTTTTTGTAAATTAATATCATAAACTTTTGTGGAAAATAAAGATGAAAATGCATACATTTCTGATTCTGTACGTGTGTCATTCTGCAACGTCTGCGGTTTGGATGTCAATTGGAAAAAAAATATTTAAATGATTTATTTATAAGTACAACACTTGTACTCTTAATGTATGTGGTTTAGGGGAAACACAAATATAGAGGAAAGTATTTTGTCTTTACTGATCAGATGAGTCATACTCACTGGACACTTTTAGGTTTCCGGCGTTTTTTTTTTTTTTCTTCTACATCTCAACACATTATTTGCATTCAATCTGTCTTCAAATGTTTAGTTTTGTTTGACCAAAACACCAAAGACATAAAATGATACAATTTTAATTGATATATGAAAAATAAAAGCAGCAAACACTCTCAATTGAGAAACTGAATTCAGAGATTGTTTCTAAATTGATGAAAATATATATGTTGTTTTCCTTTGACTAATAGCTTAACAAATTCAAGGTCAATTGTCAAATTGATGCCTCAGCAATTAACTGATTAACCCTTAAAGCATTTGAAAACAATAGTAAGCTCAAAGATATCAAAGAGGGAGAAGTACACACCCCTAATGTGACCTCCACAAAACACGTGATTAAATCAAGCCCGATGTCATCATTCATCAAACAATGCTGTGCTCTTTACGCGGTCATATCACTTGTTGACTGAATACACTGATTGGTGACGTCAGCCATTGCTCTGTATTCTTTGTAAATAATGCCATTGTGAGGGAATTCATGTTTTCTTGTGTTTGTTGCCTTGTTGTTTACAGATGGGCAGTCAGTACCAGCGCTCAGTACCTCTAGAGGTGAGGGGAGAGCAGAGGGAGAGAGGGTCCGGACCAAGCATCCAGACAAGATACCGGTCAGTATTGTTATGGAAATAATTATCATAGACGCCAATTTGTAACATGTAGGACAAACCTTGATGTCTGTTTACCTTCTTTAAGGACACAGGCTGCTTAGCCAATAATGTTATTGTTCCCATTCTGTGACCGGTCAATACTGGGTCACAGATGGTCTGTGTTGTGGGTACACTGGGACACTTCCTTCTCTGTATTTGTGGACTCCAAGGTGAAATCTTCGAGGTCACAAGTGTCCGACGCAAGTAACTCAGTGTTCCCACACTGTTTAGGCTATCTTCTCAAATATGTTGTTTACTCTCTGCGAAACCAGTTAGATGGGCTGGCAAGAGAGAGGCTCTCCAGAATTGACGTGGCAACTCTACCGTGAAGTCAGAACCTCTGACTCTTGGACTTGTGATGTGAATCCTCCGGCCGTAACTCCAAATAAACCATCATGTGTTTGACATCAAAGCTACTGCTCCTACCGTGTCTCCTTCCTGAGTCGGTGACTCCCACTGCATAGCTACACAGAAGTTTCCTCTACAAGTATGACATCTGTTAACATGTTGCATCTGCTGTTAGTGACCTTCAATCAGTTAAACTGGGTTAGGAGGTGTTATGTTTGTACAACAAAGTAACCAAGATCTCTATTTAAAGCCGGTTATCCTAATAAAATATTAAGTATATGAATTCTTAAACAGATTGCAACTGTAAATTAGTATGAATGTATTTGTTGTTGTTTAGATTTTGGCATATGGCTGATTACTTTTGGCTCTATTTAACCAGATCATTGTGGAGAAGTCCCCGAGGTCACGCGCCCCTGAACTGGACAAGAAGAAATACCTGGTGCCCTCAGATTTAACAGGTGAAACACACAAACTTCAAAATCCCAGTTAAATCTCTCAGATGACTCATCACATCCAGCAATCACCAGCTCTTCGACGGGACGCACGCACGCACGCACGCACGCACGCACGCACGCACGCACGCACGCACGCACGCACGCACGCACGCACGCACGCACACACACACTGAAACTGTTTTCCATGCTAAATAGATCTGCTGAGACTTGATGTCAAGTTGAGCCTGCCAGTAACACTCTTGCAAAATAAGAGAAAATTCTGACCTGATCATAATTAAACTTGAAGCTTTTTGGGTGCCAGAAAAAAGCTTTTTGACTACACTTTGATCAGTCAACTCAAATTTGGGGTGAATTAAAAAAAGAAAAAAAGTGCATATTCAAAGGTTTTAGTGTCACATGCACAAAGCTACAGTGTAGAAATGGCAATGAAATTCTTCTGACCTGAGCTCCTCCAACAATGCAACATATATAATGAAATACAAAATAAAAAGTAGTGCAACAAGTCTATATACAGGTCAATATAATACGCATTTTCTAATAAGCTTTAAATAATCAATTATGAGGTTATGTTGAGTGTGTTAGTTAGTGTGCATTCCTAAGTACCATTGTCATGCTGAATTATTTATTTTCCCCTTTCTTGTTGTTGTGTCCCAGGAGCACCATGAAGAGGACCTGTTTCTCTACCTGACCTACAGTAATGAGAGTGTGTACGGTGCCTGAGTGAGGACAAAAGACTGGAGAAAGAGAGAGAGAACGAGGCTGTCTGAGAAATAAAGAGTTAAGGCTGTTTGTAATGCTTCACACCACTATTATTCTCTATATTAGTTTTGATAAGTAACTACATGGTGAAAGAAAGGCTTGGCACAGGGCAGACGTTGTCGCTGGTAGGGTTTACCGTCGTCAGTATTTCCGGGTGAGCTTAATGCATTTGAGTTAACTTCAAGTTATGTTGATTAGAAAGAATGAATGCATCGCAAAAGGAGGTTAATGAAATTACGTTGAGGGATCTCTCTTATTCTTTCTCAGTCCTCTGTATTTAATGCAAATATTTGTTGTTTTTTTGTAAATTAATATCATAAACTTTTGTGGAAAATAAAGATGAAAATGCATACATTTCTGATTCTGTACGTGTGTCATTCTGCAACGTCTGCGGTTTGGATGTCAATTGGAAAAAAAATATTTAAATGATTTATTTATAAGTACAACACTTGTACTCTTAATGTATGTGGTTTAGGGGAAACACAAATATAGAGGAAAGTATTTTGTCTTTACTGATCAGATGAGTCATACTCACTGGACACTTTTAGGTTTCCGGCGTTTTTTGTTTTTTTTCTACATCTCAACACATTATTTGCATTCAATCTGTCTTCAAATGTTTAGTTTTGTTTGACCAAAACACCAAAGACATAAAATGATACAATTTTAATTGATATATGAAAAATAAAAGCAGCAAACACTCTCAATTGAGAAACTGAATTCAGAGATTGTTTCTAAATTGATGAAAATATATATGTTGTTTTCCTTTGACTAATAGCTTAACAAATTCAAGGTCAATTGTCAAATTGATGCCTCAGCAATTAACTGATTAACCCTTAAAGCATTTGAAAACAATAGTAAGCTCAAAGATATCAAAGAGGGAGAAGTACACACCCCTAATGTGACCTCCACAAAACACGTGATTAAATCAAGCCCGATGTCATCATTCATCAAACAATGCTGTGCTCTTTACGCGGTCATATCACTTGTTGACTGAATACACTGATTGGTGACGTCAGCCATTGCTCTGTATTCTTTGTAAATAATGCCATTGTGAGGGAATTCATGTTTTCTTGTGTTTGTTGCCTTGTTGTTTACAGATGGGCAGTCAGTACCAGCGCTCAGTACCTCTAGAGGTGAGGGGAGAGCAGAGGGAGAGAGGGTCCGGACCAAGCATCCAGACAAGATACCGGTCAGTATTGTTATGGAAATAATTATCATAGACGCCAATTTGTAACATGTAGGACAAACCTTGATGTCTGTTTACCTTCTTTAAGGACACAGGCTGCTTAGCCAATAATGTTATTGTTCCCATTCTGTGACCGGTCAATACTGGGTCACAGATGGTCTGTGTTGTGGGTACACTGGGACACTTCCTTCTCTGTATTTGTGGACTCCAAGGTGAAATCTTCGAGGTCACAAGTGTCCGACGCAAGTAACTCAGTGTTCCCACACTGTTTAGGCTATCTTCTCAAATATGTTGTTTACTCTCTGCGAAACCAGTTAGATGGGCTGGCAAGAGAGAGGCTCTCCAGAATTGACGTGGCAACTCTACCGTGAAGTCAGAACCTCTGACTCTTGGACTTGTGATGTGAATCCTCCGGCCGTAACTCCAAATAAACCATCATGTGTTTGACATCAAAGCTACTGCTCCTACCGTGTCTCCTTCCTGAGTCGGTGACTCCCACTGCATAGCTACACAGAAGTTTCCTCTACAAGTATGACATCTGTTAACATGTTGCATCTGCTGTTAGTGACCTTCAATCAGTTAAACTGGGTTAGGAGGTGTTATGTTTGTACAACAAAGTAACCAAGATCTCTATTTAAAGCCGGTTATCCTAATAAAATATTAAGTATATGAATTCTTAAACAGATTGCAACTGTAAATTAGTATGAATGTATTTGTTGTTGTTTAGATTTTGGCATATGGCTGATTACTTTTGGCTCTATTTAACCAGATCATTGTGGAGAAGTCCCCGAGGTCACGCGCCCCTGAACTGGACAAGAAGAAATACCTGGTGCCCTCAGATTTAACAGGTGAAACACACAAACTTCAAAATCCCAGTTAAATCTCTCAGATGACTCATCACATCCAGCAATCACCAGCTCTTCGACGGGACGCACGCACGCACGCACGCACGCACGCACGCACGCACGCACGCACGCACGCACGCACGCACACACACACTGAAACTGTTTTCCATGCTAAATAGATCTGCTGAGACTTGATGTCAAGTTGAGCCTGCCAGTAACACTCTTGCACAATAAGAGAAAATTCTGACCTGATCATAATTAAACTTGAAGCTTTTTGGGTGCCAGAAAAAAGCTTTTTGACTACACTTTGATCAGTCAACTCAAATTTGGGGTGAATTAAAAAAAGAAAAAAAGTGCATATTCAAAGGTTTTAGTGTCACATGCACAAAGCTACAGTGTAGAAATGGCAATGAAATTCTTCTGACCTGAGCTCCTCCAACAATGCAACATATATAATGAAATACAAAATAAAAAGTAGTGCAACAAGTCTATATACAGGTCAATATAATACGCATTTTCTAATAAGCTTTAAATAATCAATTATGAGGTTATGTTGAGTGTGTTAGTTAGTGTGCATTCCTAAGTACCATTGTCATGCTGAATTATTTATTTTCCCCTTTCTTGTTGTTGTGTCCCAGGAGCACCATGAAGAGGACCTGTTTCTCTACCTGACCTACAGTAATGAGAGTGTGTACGGTGCCTGAGTGAGGACAAAAGACTGGAGAAAGAGAGAGAGAGAGAACGAGGCTGTCTGAGAAATAAAGAGTTAAGGCTGTTTGTAATGCTTCACACCACTATTATTCTCTATATTAGTTTTGATAAGTAACTACATGGTGAAAGAAAGGCTTGGCACAGGGCAGACGTTGTCGCTGGTAGGGTTTACCGTCGTCAGTATTTCCGGGTGAGCTTAATGCATTTGAGTTAACTTCAAGTTATGTTGATTAGAAAGAATGAATGCATCGCAAAAGGAGGTTAATGAAATTACGTTGAGGGATCTCTCTTATTCTTTCTCAGTCCTCTGTATTTAATGCAAATATTTGTTGTTTTTTTTGTAAATTAATATCATAAACTTTTGTGGAAAATAAAGATGAAAATGCATACATTTCTGATTCTGTACGTGTGTCATTCTGCAACGTCTGCGGTTTGGATGTCAATTGGAAAAAAAATATTTAAATGATTTATTTATAAGTACAACACTTGTACTCTTAATGTATGTGGTTTAGGGGAAACACAAATATAGAGGAAAGTATTTTGTCTTTACTGATCAGATGAGTCATACTCACTGGACACTTTTAGGTTTCCGGCGTTTTTTTTTTTTTTTTTCTACATCTCAACACATTATTTGCATTCAATCTGTCTTCAAATGTTTAGTTTTGTTTGACCAAAACACCAAAGACATAAAATGATACAATTTTAATTGATATATGAAAAATAAAAGCAGCAAACACTCTCAATTGAGAAACTGAATTCAGAGATTGTTTCTAAATTGATGAAAATATATATGTTGTTTTCCTTTGACTAATAGCTTAACAAATTCAAGGTCAATTGTCAAATTGATGCCTCAGCAATTAACTGATTAACCCTTAAAGCATTTGAAAACAATAGTAAGCTCAAAGATATCAAAGAGGGAGAAGTACACACCCCTAATGTGACCTCCACAAAACACGTGATTAAATCAAGCCCGATGTCATCATTCATCAAACAATGCTGTGCTCTTTACGCGGTCATATCACTTGTTGACTGAATACACTGATTGGTGACGTCAGCCATTGCTCTGTATTCTTTGTAAATAATGCCATTGTGAGGGAATTCATGTTTTCTTGTGTTTGTTGCCTTGTTGTTTACAGATGGGCAGTCAGTACCAGCGCTCAGTACCTCTAGAGGTGAGGGGAGAGCAGAGGGAGAGAGGGTCCGGACCAAGCATCCAGACAAGATACCGGTCAGTATTGTTATGGAAATAATTATCATAGACGCCAATTTGTAACATGTAGGACAAACCTTGATGTCTGTTTACCTTCTTTAAGGACACAGGCTGCTTAGCCAATAATGTTATTGTTCCCATTCTGTGACCGGTCAATACTGGGTCACAGATGGTCTGTGTTGTGGGTACACTGGGACACTTCCTTCTCTGTATTTGTGGACTCCAAGGTGAAATCTTCGAGGTCACAAGTGTCCGACGCAAGTAACTCAGTGTTCCCACACTGTTTAGGCTATCTTCTCAAATATGTTGTTTACTCTCTGCGAAACCAGTTAGATGGGCTGGCAAGAGAGAGGCTCTCCAGAATTGACGTGGCAACTCTACCGTGAAGTCAGAACCTCTGACTCTTGGACTTGTGATGTGAATCCTCCGGCCGTAACTCCAAATAAACCATCATGTGTTTGACATCAAAGCTACTGCTCCTACCGTGTCTCCTTCCTGAGTCGGTGACTCCCACTGCATAGCTACACAGAAGTTTCCTCTACAAGTATGACATCTGTTAACATGTTGCATCTGCTGTTAGTGACCTTCAATCAGTTAAACTGGGTTAGGAGGTGTTATGTTTGTACAACAAAGTAACCAAGATCTCTATTTAAAGCCGGTTATCCTAATAAATATTAAGTATATGAATTCTTAAACAGATTGCAACTGTAAATTAGTATGAATGTATTTGTTGTTGTTTAGATTTTGGCATATGGCTGATTACTTTTGGCTCTATTTAACCAGATCATTGTGGAGAAGTCCCCGAGGTCACGCGCCCCTGAACTGGACAAGAAGAAATACCTGGTGCCCTCAGATTTAACAGGTGAAACACACAAACTTCAAAATCCCAGTTAAATCTCTCAGATGACTCATCACATCCAGCAATCACCAGCTCTTCGACGGGACGCACGCACGCACGCACGCACGCACGCACGTACGCACGCACGCACGCACGCACGCACGCACGCACGCACGCACGCACGCACGCACGCACACACACACTGAAACTGTTTTCCATGCTAAATAGATCTGCTGAGACTTGATGTCAAGTTGAGCCTGCCAGTAACACTCTTGCAAAATAAGAGAAAATTCTGACCTGATCATAATTAAACTTGAAGCTTTTTGGGTGCCAGAAAAAAGCTTTTTGACTACACTTTGATCAGTCAACTCAAATTTGGGGTGAATTAAAAAAAGAAAAAAAGTGCATATTCAAAGGTTTTAGTGTCACATGCACAAAGCTACAGTGTAGAAATGGCAATGAAATTCTTCTGACCTGAGCTCCTCCAACAATGCAACATATATAATGAAATACAAAATAAAAAGTAGTGCAACAAGTCTATATACAGGTCAATATAATACGCATTTTCTAATAAGCTTTAAATAATCAATTATGAGGTTATGTTGAGTGTGTTAGTTAGTGTGCATTCCTAAGTACCATTGTCATGCTGAATTATTTATTTTCCCCTTTCTTGTTGTTGTGTCCCAGGAGCACCATGAAGAGGACCTGTTTCTCTACCTGACCTACAGTAATGAGAGTGTGTACGGTGCCTGAGTGAGGACAAAAGACTGGAGAAAGAGAGAGAGAGAGAACGAGGCTGTCTGAGAAATAAAGAGTTAAGGCTGTTTGTAATGCTTCACACCACTATTATTCTCTATTAGTTTTGATAAGTAACTACATGGTGAAAGAAAGGCTTGGCACAGGGCAGACGTTGTCGCTGGTAGGGTTTACCGTCGTCAGTATTTCCGGGTGAGCTTAATGCATTTGAGTTAACTTCAAGTTATGTTGATTAGAAAGAATGAATGCATCGCAAAAGGAGGTTAATGAAATTACGTTGAGGGATCTCTCTTATTCTTTCTCAGTCCTCTGTATTTAATGCAAATATTTGTTGTTTTTTTGTAAATTAATATCATAAACGTTTGTGGAAAATAAAGATGAAAATGCATACATTTCTGATTCTGTACGTGTGTCATTCTGCAACGTCTGCGGTTTGGATGTCAATTGGAAAAAAAATATTTAAATGATTTATTTATAAGTACAACACTTGTACTCTTAATGTATGTGGTTTAGGGGAAACACAAATATAGAGGAAAGTATTTTGTCTTTACTGATCAGATGAGTCATACTCACTGGACACTTTTAGGTTTCCGGCGTTTTTTGTTTTTTTTCTACATCTCAACACATTATTTGAGCAACAGGCGTTTCATCTGCATTTGTGTCTGCATGACACAGGGTTACATAACTCAGTTGTCAGATCACTAGCCTGGTCTGAGAAACTTCTCCAGCATATCGAAAGTTAGAGAAACAGAAGCCAGAGGAGCCATGGAGCTGCAGGAGATCCCCAACGAGGGGGAAACACACGAGGAAGGTGAACCGATGCTGGAGGTCAAAACTGAAGGTACACATTTTATTTATTCAAAAAATAGGTCAAAAAAAGCCTATTAAGGAATATATAGAAATGAAAAACGATGAATGCACAGTATTGTAGTGTTCCTGTTTTCTATATGAAAAATACATTTAAAAAAGTGTAATAAAACTATAATATTAAGAGATTTTCATTTAATATATTTTAGTTCAACATGTATTTGAGATTTAAAAAACATGTCAGGTGGTTTTGTCTGTTCAATTGAGTCTATCTTTATTTTTTGTCTGGCTTTAGAGGAAGCAGAGCCTGACCACAACTCCAAACTACAAAGTCCATCTGAGGATATCTATTCAGAAGCTTTGGTCAGTGGCGATCCCGTTAAAACAAGGGCAGAAACGACCCGAGCAGGTACATCTTATAATACAAATTGTTGGTGTTTTGAAGCTGCTACGTCCAAAGGTAACATGTAACATGTTTCAGCGTGCCTAAAAGCCACTTACTAAAAATAAAGGGTCTTCATTGGTCTTCCATAACACATTTTGTTTTAAAACTGCTCCATGATGTTTCTCACATTCTATATTTGATGTTGAAGTAAAACACACCCCAACAGGGAGTTGCATCAACTTCAATATATTGCTGGTTATTCACCAATATGTTTTTGTCATTGTTGTTATTGGTTACTGTACATGAAAAACTGCAGCCTATGTAATAATGACATGAGTGTTCACCGATTCAAATTCAAGAAAAAGAAAAAAGCAGAGGGAAAGGTTTGAAAGCTTAAAAACCACAGCAGAAATGTAGGGGAACAAACGTTTTAACTTTGATCAACGATTACATTTTCATTACAGAAATAATGTCCGTTATTGTTTTTACTTTAATAAAGCTTAGTAGAGGCTTGTTAAGAATGTTTGACGAGCTGGGTAATTGTTCAATTCCAACTTATTTTCTTTTATTGTTGTTATTCTAAAAAAGCTTTGATGACATGTTAAGGTAATTTCTCTGATAAACAGAAAAGTGGAGATATCAAGGACATTTTCACATATTTGTATTGTTTACTTGCAGCAGAATAACAAAACAAAGTTGAAATATGTAGTGAGTATTTTCAATGACGATTGATCTGCTGGTATTTATTTTCAAACAATGTAATAGTAATATACTGTATATTATAATTAAAGTAGCTCAAAATGCCCCCCACAATTTCCCAGCACCCATGTTAACATTTTACATTTGTTTTTTCTAAACAACAGTCCATAAGCCAAAGGTTCCCACGACAGAAGAGGAAAAAACCTTTGAGGAATTGAAACCAATGACATTGTTTTTACAATGTCTCAAATAATTAAATAGGAAATGTGTTGAATGCTCAGTTAGTAAGTCAGTTATCATAAATTGCCATTGTTCCATTGTTATATTATTTTATTTTCAAAAGTATTTCTTACTTATTGAAGTATGATGGTAATTTACCTCCATTTTAATCTGGACAGAGTGAATATGATATACTTACAAGTAGATATTTATGAAAATAATGACAACATTTAATTTATTGCATATATAGACTATTACAATTTATTTACATTTTGTGATTCTTTAAACATGTTGTCTGTGAGCATTAAAGTATTTTCATATTTGTAAGTGGTGGGAATCAAACTATTCTTCATCCAATAAGGGGGGATATCTCTGTAATGCAAAACCATCTGTTTAATACAAGTACACTTCACTAAACCCAAGTCTGTCTTTTGTAAGGAAACAGCAACTCAATGTTAACAAGCACCTGTTTAAATCAAAACACTGTTTTCCTATTTGTTTTGTGATAATGCAACAATTTAAAAAGACAGAAAGAAAGTAATACGCACAAAAAACATTGAGATGCAAATACGTATTTGTTGTTGTAATTCTCATTTTGTCCACAAGAAGCTGGAGTGCACCACTAGTGGCCTGGTTTGTTTCCCCCTCAGAATTCTGCATTTTGATATAAAATGTATCTGTATCAGTCATACTATGTTCTGTCTGGGAACTGTGCTCCATACGTCTGAAATGACCTCAAAAAACAGTCCTATATTTTGTTTTAGAGCACAACATGTCTCCAGGAAGCAGTCAATCTCTCACACAAAGAGAGATACAGTCCAAGTTTTGGAAACTGAAGGACAAGCGGATCACTGTGCCCCATGAATAATTCAGTCATCACTGAAAGTCATGTTGCTATGACTACTACTAGACAAAGGAGGGGGGGGGGGCGTTTTAAAGCTGCACTCAGATGTGAGTCAGCAGAACAGACAGACGGAGCAGGACAACAAGCTTCATCAGTTAAAAAAAAGTTACCACCTGAGTCCAAGTTATCTGTTGAACTGCAGGAGGAAAAAGGTAGGCCAGAGCCTTCATGGTGTTTTATGTTCGTGCGTATTCTGAAATATCTCTCCAACATCAGGCTGATTTCTTCCTCCTCAGGCAAACCGACGGAGGGGAACTCACGTCTGTACCGTGCTGCGTGTTTGTTCCTCACCATAATCTGCCTGGTCCTGCTGTTGGTCGTCATCATACTCAGTCTGAAACGTGAGTATCTGCAGCCATGGATCATGTCAGCACTGTAAAAACAAACAACTACTTCAGCTGGATTATGTTTGTAACTCCAAAACAGATTATGAAAGGATTTATGGTTTCACTGGCAGGTCAGAATTAAAAGAAATAAATGTGTCAGAGTCACTTTGCCATGGTTCCTTTTTTGCTCGTAGAAACCAAAAAGGATTATAAAGTGTGTCTGATCTAACTGCTGCAGCCTGTGGGCACCATTCCTTTTAGTGATGTGTCGGTCGCGAACGAGCCGGCTCAAAGAGCCGGCTCTTTTAAGTGAACGACAGGAGCCGGCTCTCGCCCGCGAACGAGCCGTTTTTTATTTATTTTTTTTGGGAGGGATCTAGATCGGCTTGAAGGCACATTATGCAATGTGCAATGTGCACATTATCCCGCTTATTACATGGCCACATTCTCAACAAAGTAACGACATGACTCCCAATAGTAATTGAAATGCTTTTATGGATTTAGAAAATGATTTTATTGATTTAAAAAATAGTTTTATGTATTGATTTAAATTGAGATGCATCCGCTAAGAAAAGTAGTCCGTTGTTACTGTTTAAACTAACGTAGCAACAGCAGGAACTGCTTCGATAGTGTTTTTGAGGAGCTTTTTGATTACAGATTTGAAAACATCGTTGCTTGCTTTAAAAGTAGCACAATTCATTATGTCAAACCTTGGAAAGTATCTAGATATCCCTGCCCTAATGCCAAAGGAACTGCACACTGAATATGTGTCGCCGTTTGATGTCTATGTCTGGACCGCCTGCGTAAAAAGGAGGGTTTCTGCCCCATTACTTCTCTTCTTACTTCTATAAGAATAAAACACGGAGGACGGAGATCTCTTTTTCTCCCCCTCTTCTGACAGCCCAGCAGCTGATCTCAAAGCACGCTCCCCTCTCCTGCAGGGGGGCGTGGTCCGCTGCAGCTCACAGAATCAGCCCCTGCCAAAAACAGCGCTGGAAAGAGCAAATAGAGCGAAATGAGGCATGGCTAAAATGCAGGATCTTTTTGGTCTAGCCTATATAGTCTATATTTTTTTATATAAAAAAAGATATTTATATACTTTATATAGGTCGATACAGTAACCCCTTATCTGTTTTGTGTAGCGTGGTTCTACAAGCAAGTCAATGCATTCATTGGGTGGTATCAGAGAGTTACAAGGGTCTGTAAATGCAATGAAAACAATTGGCCACAGCAAATCATTTATATTAAACATGTAATTTTTACTTTTGAATACTTCAGTACAAAGGATATAATCAATAATTTAAGTGATATATGTGTACACATATAAATCATTAGTCAAAACAGGGCTACATTTGATTTAATTAAAAGGTATAATAAGTGGTAAACTGAAGAGCCGTTTGGGAGCCGAAAGAGCCGGCTCTTCTTGGTGAGCCGAGCCAAATGATCCGGCTCACCAAGAAGAGCCGGAATTCCCATCACTAATTCCTTTCTCTTAAAACTCCTCCCACTGTGCTCTGCTTTCCAGTCCAAACTGGCTCTACCATCTGTCCAGAGAGAGAGGGAACTACAGCAGATGAAAGGCGGAGTCGTCCTTCTGATTCAACATGCAGCCACGAGAAGTGCGAGGCTCTCTTCCCGGAGATGCAACCCCAACGTGATAGTGATGGGAATTACGGCTCTTCTTGGTGAGCCGGATCATTTGGCTCGGCTCACCAAGAAGAGCCGGCTCTTTCGGCTCCCAAACGGCTCTTCAGTTTACCACATATTATACCTTTTAATTAAATCAAATGTAGCCCTGTTTTGACTAATGATTTATATGTGTACACATATATCACTTAAATTATTGATTATATCCTTTGTAC